TGTGCACCCTGGGCCTTGTGCAGAGCCTGCCCTGTCGCCTGCTGAGAGCCGCTCCAGGCCCCGCCCACCGAGCTCTGACCCTGCCCCCGTCTTCTCTGCCCTTGCCAAATTTGGGCTTTGTTGCCCGCCTCCCCTCCCCCCACTGCCCTGAGCGAGGACCTGAGTCTCCTTCCCCTCCCCACTGCCTCTACTGACCATGCTTTGCCAACGCGCGGGAGCAGGGACACCCCCTCTCGCCTGGTTTGCTCAGTAATGCACCCAAGGATCTGGGAGCACCACAGGCTTCCTCAGTCGCCTCTCAGTGGTGCCCCATGGTGCCCGATCTGACACCAGAGAAGTCAAAGGCAAACTCCTCAGAGACAGGGCGACTTACAGCCCACAACTGGGGCCCTCCCTCTGAGGCACCAAACCAGCCACACAGAGCACTGCTGTTCCCCACACTAGCCGAGACGCGCCCTCTGAAGTACAAGTAGAGCGCCGATACCATCACTTCCGATACAAACCTCAGACCTGCCTGGCAGCTGTAGAAACAGCATCAGCCAATCCGAAACTTTGCACAGACATCTTACGTGGTCCACTTGCGCCAAGATTTGGTGCAAACATAAACCAGGGCTTGCAACAGTGATGTGTCGGTTATCTCCCAGCCGGGCAAGCCAAGCCCCTCACCTTCCCTGGCCAGAAGAGAACACTGGCCAGGCCTCGCAGACAGAGCCTCCGTATTGCAGGGTTGTTGTCTCGGGTCCATTCCATCAGGTGTTCCTGGACGTCTGATTTGGTGACAGTGCTGAGGATGGAAGGACTCTGGAGAAACTGGAAAGAGAAAATCAACGTCAGGCTAAGGAGCAGAAATCTGCCTTTGGTCTGTGCCTGCCCCATCATCTTTGCCAACTGGCCACTTTCTGCGGCACAAAATCTCTGGAGTTAAGGAACCAGTGGCTGGTGTTTGAAATGGTCCATTCCTAGAAGGGCAACTAATCCATAAGCCCCTAATGAACTCCTGGGAAAGAGGACTCTCTGGGGACCGCTAAGCGTTCTGGGCAGAGCGCTGTGGCAGAGGAAAAAGAAACCCAAAGGGAAGGCGAGGAGAGAGGTGCGGGCTTGGGGTGCTGGAGAAACATCTCCTCTTGTCACATGGTCCCAGGGAGGTGCATCCAGCCAGGAGCAATCTCACCCTGCCCCCCTCCACTCTGCCCAGTCCCGCTAGTATCTGTGTGGGCAGAGGAGCTGGCTGGCTGTGAGATTGCTGAACTGCTGGCCATGGGCCCCAGCCCCTATTGGCCCAGGAGGGGTCTGAGCTGCTCTGCACAAGCCCACGTGTGCCAGGCCACTCCGGACTCTCACCTCGGTGCAGAAAGTCAGGGCGATTTCTCTCAGCGCCTCCTCCTCCTCCCGACTCTGCACGATGGCGATGGCCTCTCTGAGAACCACAGGGACCTGTGGGCGTAGCCTAGAGGTTTTTGTTGTACTCCATTCAACGCTGGTGAGGTCTCAGCTGGAGTACAGGTTGACCGTCTTCTCTGGTTCAGTAATATTTGTGATTCAGCATGATTTTAGTTGGCCATACTCGTGAAAAATGGAAATCAGGCTAAGTTTCCTGTGGTCCCATAAAGTTGGTTTCCAGCCACCAGTCCTGGTTTTCAGTGTTCTGTGCTATTAGCTCTAATTTACTTCTAAATGTCTTCTAAGAGCTCAGTAAACAGTGAAAGTGTTTGGTGATGTTGCTAAACAATGTTGACCTCCTGTGGTCCGGCAAATTCTCTGGTTCAGCATTGGTCATGTTCTGAAGGTTCTGGACTAGAGAAGTTCAACATGTACTGTGTCTAGTTCTCAGCAGCATGCTTTAGGAAAGAGATCTATTGGAGAGAGTCCAGAGGAGAACAGCAAAAATAAGATTTCAAAAACCTGACTGTTTAGAATAAAAAAAAAAAAAAAAAAAAATCCTGGTGTCAGAAATTTACTGCAGCCCCAGGCAGGGCAAACCAGCTCAAAGCCTGTGGCACAAGGCATGGTCAGCAGTAGCCGGCTTCCCCCAGGATGGACCCAGCACCCTGTCGGGGCTCACTGAGGTTTTGGCAGGTGGCGACACTGCAGCTTCTGCAGATGCTCAGTGCCCTCGCTCCTAATGGTCCAACACCTGACTCTTCACTGGGGCAGGTACCAGGTGACTGGGCACATGGGCCAGATCCTTAGTTGGTGCGAGGGAGCAAAACTCTGCCCGTTTGCAGCAGCTGAGGTGCCTTCGGGCTCCCCAGCTCCCCCCAGGGGAGTCCACACGGAATCAGCTTCATGGTCCCTCTTGCTCCTGCCTGCCTGTGACACGGCCCCCCTGCCGGGCCGGGCCCCAGTGCTGCTGGCCTTGCTGTCTCTGAGTGTGCTCTGGCGATGCTGCCCTGGGCTGGGGCATTGTGGGGCTGAGGCCCTAACACTTCGGCAGGTGGCACATGGGGAGGTACCGACGTGGTCCCTGCCCGTGCTGGGAAGGAGCCGGCCTGTGGTCGGGTCAGAGGAGCAAGCGTGACTCACAAGCACACAGGTGCCCAGCACCGCTCCCCCCAGACAGACCTGCCCAGAACTGCGCCTGGGCTCTGCAGGGGCCTTGTGTGACCTATGGGTGCAGCAGATCAAATCTGTTCTTCCCCTTCCCCTGCCGTTACCTCAAGGGGCTGAGGCGGCTGGATCCCTCAGGGCTGGATTTCTGGCTGGCCGTCCAGGTCCCTGGCAGGCGCAGGTCCAGCACGTGCTGCACCTGCCTGACGCAGAGGAGGAGCAAGTGGGGAAACATTTGCAAGATGGCTTCTCGGTATCCCCACAGGAAAAAGATCTCATAGAGCGTGTCCATAGCCTGGAGTCAGAACGAGACAGAAAAGTCACTGAGCTGTCCCCACCTCCCATCCGCTCCCATGGCATTTTGCTGTCATGCTGGTGCCGTTTCCCACATCCTTGTGGCTTATGAGGAAGGAGGGTTAGTTCCTCAGGGGGGAGGGGAGATGTGATGGCCCCCAACCCGTCTTCCATTGCTAGAATGGGCGCAGAAGGGAACCTCTTGGAAAGATCAGAAGAGTCTGGCTGACATTATTCCCCATTCTCTCTCTCCATGGCCTAGCCCGCGCCCTTCGCCTTCCCAGGCCTGACCAGAGGGGGGCAACACCATCGTGAGGGGACCTAAACTTCTAGGCGCATGTACAGGGCATCCCACGATCCCTCTGCTGCCTGAGTAACTCCAGTGCCACAAGCAGCAGGGAGCCGGGGCGATGCCGGGAGGTCGATGCAGTTTCAGTCCAGACCCCACGTTGCTCCCGGCGACTGACTTTCCAGCAGCTCATGGTTTGCAGGTCCTCGTTTTCACTCCCCCATCGTGCAGGGCTGCTTGTGTGTTCTGGGCCCAAGGTAGCAACTTATCCTTGTGTCGAGGATCATCTTCCATGAACTTCCACAGCATTGTTTTGTGTCTCTCGTTGAATCTCTCTTCTCACCCACCTGTCTGTGGGGGGCAGACTGAGGTTCTAGGGGTGTGAATGTTCAAGAAGCAGCATAGCTCTGCCATGACTTTTCAGGTCACATTAGGCCCTTGGTCCATTAAACATCTCTCACAGCAGCCCGACCCTCGCAAGCACCTTCACAAGTTCATTGGCAATAGCAGCTCATGTGGAGGACTGCGTGGGGAACCGGGCAGCGTTGTTAGGATTGAAACACGCTTTTTATATTTCTTATTTTAGGTATAGTAATGTAGCAGTAATATAGCAATACAAGGCATATATATATTAACATATATTTAATATTTGACAAATCAAGTCCTTTCAGTTGAAGGTCTGTTTTCTTTGTTCTGAAGTAGAAAAATAGTTCTGGGTATTTTGTCTGTGTTAGTAAGATTAGAGGAATTCTGTGAATGTTGAAGGCCAAGCCTTAATTGTTTAATTTACAATGCTTTTGCTTTGCCATGCAGATCTGTAACCCCGGAGACTTGTGTATGTGAGGAGTGTGAATGTGTTGAGATAAGATGCAAAGTTATATGGCTTTAGAACCAGATGGTCAAAGGAGAGGGTTGAGCGAGTGCGAGCGAAGTCCAGAGGATGAGACAACCTGACTGCAGAGGAGTCATCTATAACCATCAATGCGTACCTCTACTCATGAGAAGATGGGATAATTGGCAGATTGACGAGCCTTAGAGCGGAGCAAGCCCCCCGAAAGGACGATTGACTACAGGATGAACCTTCCAGAGATGTTCTGGGAACACTCACATCAAAAGATAACATTCCGGTCAGAAGCTTTGGGAACACTCGCATCAAAAGATAACATTCCGGTCATAAGCTGACAGAGTGGGATCCATGGACTTTAACAGAGAAGAAGGAATATATAAAGCAGGGTGCTTTGCTATGGAACTTTGGGTTCGTCTGCCACACTATCTGGAGAGGAGTATCGGATCGATTGACCGACAAGGCCCTGCTCCCCGCTGTGCTCAATCTACCTAGATGGACACAGACTCTTGACTGGTAACTATATCATCTGGCAGAACTGCGCATGCATGGTGTTTTGTGTGTGTTTGAAAAGCATATGCAACTGTTGTATTCTCAATCAATGCGGCGTACTGCCTTCCCCCCCATAAAAGATCTCGTTGCTTCGTTTAAGCATAACAGCGTAGCCCACTAGCAGACTAATGGCCCGTGCTACTCTTCTAGAAGGGTCCCACCAGATCTAAGGTCCTTGCTGATCTCAAACTGGGATCCCAGGGGCCAGCACTGAGGTTGACCATCTCCCTGGCTTGTGTCTGCTCCTTGCTGCCAGGCCTTGGAGGGTTGGGTCACTCCTTTGCTCTTGAAGGAAATCCCCCCAAGATCCCAAACTACTTCACCAGGGTCAATGGGAACTTCTGCCGGGTCGGGTTCGAATCCTCCTGCCCCAGTTAGAGGGACCCCGACTGTGCTGCTTGTTTCACTCCCTCAGATGCCCCTGCTTGGGGTCTGGCTTCCCTGGCTCCTCTGAGGCCAAGTAGTCCTCAAGCAGGGAGACAGTTTCAGCGAGGGGCACCGGGCGGTGTCGCTGCGCCCATTCCTGCCTGCCCCCGGCAGGATCCGTTTCACGGGCACGATCACAGAAGACTCCTCGGGGGCGTTTCCCAGAGCGCTGGCAAAGCCGCTGACACTCGCTTCTTGGCACTCAAGAGCTTCTTGCTACACTGTCCTGCTGGGCCAGGTCTCCTGGTCTCCCCCAGCTGAGGCACAGAGCAGAGACCGGAAGGGGGGGGGGGTGGTTCTGAGCCTCTACCTCTGGGAGAAGAGGGTTGAGCTTCTTTCCTGGAAGCCTGAAATAGCTTAACTCTCCCATTCCTAGTTCTAAAAAGTTTTGCTGATCTCTCATCCAGGAGGTGCTGAGATAATACAGTGTTAAATGGTAGCAAAGCTTTTTCATAGAATCACAGAACACTAGAACTGGAGGGGACCTCGAGAGGTCATCGATTCCAGTCCCTTGCCCTCACAGCAGGACCTAGTACCATCTAACCCATCGCTGATAGACGTCTATCTAACCTGCTCTTAAATATCTCCAGAGATGGAGATTCCACAGTCTCTCTAGGCAACTTATTCCTCTGTTTAACCACCCTGACAGGAAGTTTTTCCTAATGTCCAACCTAAACCTCCCTTGCTGCAGTTTAAGCCCATTGCTTCTTGTCCTATCCTCAGAGGCCAAGGAGAACAATTTCTTCCACCCCCACCCCATGACACACTTTTAGATACCTGAAAAACGCTATCATGTCCCTTCTCAGTCTTCTTTCCAAACTAAACAAGACCTATGAAGGAAGACTGAAAGAATTGGGCATGTTCTCTAGACCTTTAATCATTCTTGTTGCTGTTCTCTGAACCTTCTCCAGTTCCTCCATCTTTTTTGAAATGTGGTGCCCAGAACTGGACACAGTACTCCAATTGAGGCCTAATCAGCACAGAGTGGAGCTGAAGAATGACTTCTTATGTCTTGCTCACATTATTAAGCACAAGCTGTGGGATTTACATGGGTGCAAGAGAGAAAGGGCAGAGCAAAGTGAATTACAAATGTCAGATAAGAAGAAACGCATCCGTAGTTTTAACACACACTTGAGCCTCTTACAAACTCACCGTCCAACTGTTCTTATTTGGGTTAAACCTCCCAGCAAGGGCAGGTCTTTTCCCTGGGGTCTCTGGCTCTCTCTCTGGGGAGTGCTATGAAGGCGTTCTTCAATGTAAAGAGGCCGTCTTCGAAAGAGAGCATCCAGACTCGCTGGGTGCTCTCTTTCGAAAAAGCGGATTTCTCTTTCGAAAGATCCGCCTGCAGTCTAGACGCGATCTTTCGAAAGAGGCTTTTTCGAAAGATGCTTTCGAAAGAGCCTCTTTCGAAAGAAGCCTGCAGTCTAGACATAGCCAAAGTGAATTACAAATGTCAGATAAGAAGAAACGCATCCGTAGTTTTAACACACACTTGAGCCTCTTACAAACTCACCGTCCAACTGTTCTTATTTGGGTTAAACCTCCCAGCAAGGGCAGGTCTTTTCCCTGGGGTCTCTGGCTCTCTCTCTGGGGAGTGCTATGCCTGACACAGGGGCAGCTCACTTCTCCGGGGTTCATAAAAATCACTGTGGATGGAAACTTGGAACACTCTCCCCACCTTCTATAGAAAATTACCTGCTCAGATGCTACCCTTTGCACTTTGGGTATAGAAGTGAACTGAAGTAAGAAAGGATCATGAGTAAATAAAGGGGGAAAGGGAATCTAGTGGTCAGGTGGGGAGTATTTTTCTTTATTTTTTGGCTGGTTTGAATTGCTCTGTGTGAATCTATGCTTCCCCTCCAACATGCACCATCTGCACATTGTTCCCAGAGATTGTTTCTGTTTGAATTTGTTTTCCTTAGTTGCTCTGTCACAGCTAGCAGCCACGTATGTTTTATCAAATAGAGCTTTTGTTTTGTAATGAAAATCACTTTTTGAAGGTGATGATTCGATTCTTGTGCCCTGGAAGGTCAGCGGGTCTGTCTGCGTCTGTCTGCAGGCCTCAGACTAAAAGGTCAGCTACGAGAGACTGCAGTTTATTTTTCTCTTCTCTTGTTTTCCAAGCTCTCTCGTGCTAAAAGAGCTTCGGGTACCCCCGGGGAGAATTCAAGTGCCCTCCCCTGTGTTTAGGGATAAATCATTTGATGGTGGAAGTTCCCCCCCGAAGTTAGTAAATCTGTGACCCTGGGGAGTGTTGTAAGCAGCGACTGTAAAGACCAGGCATTTTTTTTCTTGCAGATCCCCACGTTCTGTGCTCAGAGTGCAGATCAGCCCTGTGACGTGGTGTCCCATCCCTGCACTGGGGCTGCAGAGGTGAAGCCAGGCTGCCTGGCAGAGAAGGTCGCACCCCCACAGGCATGCTGGGTGGGCTCCAGCTGGAGGTAGCTAGAAAGGCCAGTGGAGCAGCTCAGACAGGGCTGAGGCCTACAGGGCAGAGGTGCCGCTGGGGCTCCCGAGGAGAAGCGCATCTGCACCCAGATGCTGTCACCAGTCAGCAGAGAACCGCAGCAGAAGCCTCGGTTTGGAGATGGAGCACAGGATGGGAGAGAAGCTGGCAGGAAGCAGCCCAGGGCGGGTAGTTGAACCCCGGGTGCTTGGCGTCTTTCGGCTGGATTCCCCACCCAGCTAGTGGTGCCCCACTCCAACGCTGACAGGGTGCACTGGGACCCGGTGGAGAGGGTGGCCTGGGTCCCCCTGCCCCTCCACACCAATCCCACCAGGAGTTCTAACACACCTCTGGCTGCTAGGCCTGTGTGAAGGGAGCTGCCCTGTTGATTTGGAGCACAGGGAGTTAAGCCCTGTGTGCAGGGAGCTGCAGGGTTGATTTGGAGCATTGGGACGCACACGGGGTTGAGCTCCAACTGAGGGGCCTCCGTGTTCGATGGCGAGTTCACTACGTGACAGCTCCAGACTCACTTACGGCCAGAGACACGCTGCGGCTCCTCTCCTCCCGGTGGCTCTTCCGGAGCTTGTCCAGCAGCTGGTGCAGCACGTGCCGGGAGAGCTGTGCTTCTTCCCCCAAGGCCTTCCACAGCTCCCTGGCACCTCTGCAAGGTCAGAAACCGAAATCAGAGCGTCCCTGCTTGCCCCCCCTTGTCTCCCCAGGGAGAGGCTGGGAAGGCCGGCGGGGAAGGGGGCCCTTAGAGGAGACACCCGGGGGCTGGGAGGGGCAGGGGGGGGGCACCTCTGCAAGGTCAGAAACCGAAATCAGAGCGTCCCTGCTTGCCCCCCCTTGTGTCCCCAGGGAGAGGCTGGGAAGGCCGGCGGGAAAGGGGGCCCTTAGAGGAGACGCCCGGGGGCTGGGAGGCTGAGGCGGGTGAGTCCCTTCCATGAGCTCTTCATTTATTCCCTTCCCCAGAGGCCTCATTTCTCCTGCAGTCTGTGCTGCTGCTTCCAGTAACTGCCCTCGGGCTGCGCACAGCGTGACACCACCCAGCCCAGCCTGCACCACA